AATCTCTACTCGTTTGGAGGACAAAACCAAGGTAAGAAATAATCTCATATGTGTTGAAAATTGAAATGATTTTGCTGATATATAACTTTTGTAGCTAAATTATTGATTTTTTCCTTTTTTTGGTTAAGAAGAATCTGAAGACAAGAGCTCAGAGTGAGTCTTTAAAGAGAGCAAAGGATAATGAATCTGCGGCAAAGAAACCAAGAGTCACCACGCCATCACCGTTGCCAACTTTTAAGGTACATGATCATCATATTTCAAGATTTGTTTTTTAACCTTTGATTTAAATTCAATTTCTTGGTGGATAAAAATGGATTGTAAATGTAACAGGTGAGGAAAGAGAATCTAAGGGACCAGATTACTTCATTACAACAACTAGTTTCACCTTTCGGAAAGGTGAATGATTTATGTGTTTACTTTATTTTATTAAAACCAAACATATACAACCAAAAGCATTTCTTTTTTTTGTCTCTGGTCTAATTTATGTATTGAGCTAGCTTCTTAATTTTTTTGTTTATCTTTGGGTTAAACTTCAGACAGATACTGCATCTGTTCTCCAAGAAGCTATTGAGTACATCAAGTTCCTTCACGATCAAGTCACTGTACGTTTCTTTGTGATTTCTTTCCTAAATCATTGTATTCAAGAAACCCTAGATTTTTAGCAAATGTTAAGCATACAATGTTTTTAAAAATACAGGTTCTAAGCACACCATACATGAAACAAGGTGCTTCGAGCCAACAACAACAACAACAACAACAGGTTTATTACCCGATCTAGTGTTTTGTTTTTGTTTATTCTTTGAGTCTTCATACTATAATCATGGTTGATTAAGTACTAATTGCATGCATGGATTGGTGTAGATATCTGGTAAATCAAAGAATGAAGATGAAAATGAGAACCACGAGCTAAGAGCACACGGTCTATGTCTTGTCCCGATATCAAGTACGTTTCCGGTGGCTAATGAAACAACAGCAGATTTTTGGACACCAACGTTTGGGGGAAACAATTTCAGGTAAAGATCAAGATAATACGTATATCATACGGTTCTTAGTTATAGCATCAAGATTTTAATTAATAATTGTTAGTATAAAAAAAGAAATAAAAGAAAATGAAAACTCACAAGTCATGATCAAAGATTGAATCATTACTTGGAGAAAAAGTAGAGATGGGAGAAGAAGAAGGTGACTCTTCAAAGGTGGGCAGAGGCAACAATGGTGTTGGAGGGGACCAACTACAAAAGCAAGAATGATTTAGGGCTTAGAAAATATGAGATAATCTATATATTATAAACTAACAGGGTCTATTAAAAAACAACATATATGTATACTTTAGTTAATCATGTTACATACGTAATAATTAAGCTGAATTTGTTTTATATATAGGTGATTAAAAGAGATAGCGTTGTGGTTGTCAAGACGGATGGGAACATATGCTAAATTCAGCTTGGAGACTCTAAAAGCATGGCAATAATTTTAAAATGTATTTTCTTCTTCTTTATAAAAAATATTTTATGGGGGTTTTATTGCTGAATTTAGCAGATATGGGTTGTTTTTATGTTAAAGAACCTTTTGTTCCTGTCATTGTTCTTGAATTTATATATACATACTTTTGCCTTTGGTGCCATCTTTCATTATATTGGTGGTTCATATGAAGTTCTTCGTTTTTTTAATATATATGTGTTATATATCACTGCTCTAACGTTCGATAAACCAAATTATTTGGTGAAATATAACAAGAAAGTATAGGGAAAATCCCTTTTAAAAGACTTTGTCAATTTACACGCCCTTAAGTAGTAAAATATAATTAGAGTTAGCCCACAGTACAACTAAAATAAGTTAAATCTTCAAATCCTGGTTTAAATGTATCTATGTTCGTAACTATCTTATCTATGTATAATGTGTTACCTTGGATTCAACTTTTGGTTCGTTCGATTAGAAATATAAATTATGAAAATTTGGTAGTGGAAGCCAGTAGACAAGCGGTCCACTGCTGCCTACTTTATGATTTGAATATACATATATAGTTTAGTACAGATCCTACTGATGATATATAATACCAATTTGACATTCAACATCATTCATATGTTTACACAGAAGAAAAGGATTCACTACAAAAAAATAGTTATCTAACATCATTTATTTTATACATTTGCATTATTTATAAATGATGTAAAAGAATATTGCATCAGTTAAATAAGTGATTTCTAATGTGTCGATGCAAATATTTTGCATCAATTTATTATTAATTGATGCTATATTTAGATCAGTTATAACAAATGATTTTAATTAATTGTATCAGTTTTTATAATTGATTTTAAAAATTGGTATCATTTATGAATACCCGATGCTAATAAAAAATTTCTTGTTTTATATTATTCAAAAATTAATAAAAAATATTTATTTTCGAAATTATTTTTAATATGCCAAAATCGTTTTCGTATCTATTAAAATCTCAAAAAAATTTTATTAAAATTGTAATTAAAATCTTCATTTACAAAAATAAAAAAATCTAATTAATATATATTCATCATCGATTTACAAGAAACAAAAAGTGATATGAGCATAGATCCGAGGTGATTTCTTCTTGCTTAAGTGTTATATGAACACATCTTGTTTTTGTTCCATGCCTTTTCTTTCTATTGTCTGGATGACATTGTTGTTTCATCTTGAGATTTTTCTGAGTATATAAACCAAAAATAACAGAGAGAAAATCATAGTTTTACATGATAAAATCAAAAAGAATTGATATGATATAGTGAAAAAGAAAAATCATTTGCCTTCAAATCTGTTGTAGACGTGATGATTATGTGTCGAAGATGTGATGTAGCTGCACAATTTGATTTAACAGCAGTCTTCTTGGTATTCAAACAAAAACTTCTGCAAAAGTTGTCCTTTGATTCACTTCCAGTTTTTTTGCTTTTGTTTTTGGTGATTTGGAGAAGGAGAGAAGCATTTTCACCATTATATAATC